GATCCTACCAGTATGAGATCTGGGGAAGTTGTTCTCAGGTGTTGCAGTACAGCCTGGCTAGAAGGCGTAGAGGTATTCAGCACCAGATATTCACGGAACAGAAAGAGAAAGATGGTATAGAGAGATGGGAAACTGAGTAATGAAGAAAGACAAAAAGGGAAATAGAGGGAAAAGAAAACAAAACATTAAAAAAAAACAAAAACAAGAAAAGCCCCCCAAAAAACAGAAGAAAAAAAAAAAACCATGAAAAAAGGAATGCCCTAAGGGATCCCTTTGCACATCTGCACAAGCCAAGGGGGTAGATTCCAAGAAGTGCAGCACCGCCCGGCCAGTACGGCCTCCCAACTCAGGAAAAGGAAAAGAAAACAAACAAACAATCCTAAACAAAAAAAAAGAAACAAAAGCCCCGGTATCCCACCAGTGTGGCAGCCCAGACCGGGAAGCAGTTCCACACTCGAACGGAGCTCCACAGCCCCTCAGGAAGAAGCAAAGATGGCACACGGAGCCAGGTATTTGAGCAAGAGGAGGGGGAGTTGGTGAGAGGTAAGGAAGAAATCAAAAGAAGCAGAAAAAAAAGCAACAACAAATGGCACTCAGAGAGCCAGCCAGTGCGGGCGGGTGGAATCCAAGCGGCCAGTGCTTCCTGGACAAGAGACTGTCGCCACAGGAAGCAGAGGAGGCCAAGTGGGGGTGAAGAAGGGTGGGGGGTGGGGAAGCATGTATCTCAAGTTACTGGAGCTCCACAACGCCTCAGGAAGAAGCAAAGATGGCGCACAGAGCCAGGTATTGGAGCGAAAGGAGAGGGAGGTAGTGAGAGGTAAGGAAGAAATCAAAAGAAGCAGGAAAAAAAGCAACAACAAATGGCACTCAGAGAGCCAGCCAGTGCGGGCGGGTGAAATCCAAGCAGCCGGTGCTTCTTGGACAAGAGACTATGGCCACGGGGAGTGGGAGTGAAGAAGAGCGGGGTGTGGGAAAGTGTATATCATAAATTACCAGTTGTTCTGTCTCCTGCTGGAAGCTCCGTGAAGCTGCTTTCCCATACCCCCTATTTGCTGGTCTCTGACAGGAGTCCAAGATGGTGGATCCGCGCTGCATTAGCTGATAGGGGACCCTGTATGAATCTCTCCTCGCTCTCTGTTCTCTGTCAGTTTTCTCACTCCATTGGTGCTTGGCTGAGTTCTTTATCGCTTCATTTTAGGGTTTCAGGATTGCTGTTTTCTCTGTTTGGCTTAGTTTTTCGGATCTTTGCTGTGGAGGGATGGTGTGGTGCTTCTGTCTAGAGCGCTATTTTGCCGGAAGCCCTCTAATTTTTCTGTTTTTGTTGTTGTGTGCTGTGGAGTTGATTCCAACTCATAGTGACCCCGTGTGACAGAGTAGAACTGCCCCACAGGGTTTCCTAGGCTGTAATCTTTACGGGAGCAGATCGCCAAGTCTTTTCTCCCAGGGAACTGCTGGTGGGTTCGAACCATGGACCTTTCATTTAGCAGCCAAGCAGTTAACCATTTTGCCACCAGGGCTCAGTTTTCTGTTTTGCTGGGTGAAAAAGTATGGTTTAGTGACATGAGTAGTCAGCACTACTCTTTAGCACCAAAAGTCTGTCACTTGGGAATTTTTCTTAAAATGTGGCATTTGAAACTTCTAATTTGAAATTTGGTGATGTTTATAGCTCTTTTTTACTTATGTATGGATCTCTGCCCAGTCCAGAATGTTTGCCAATTTTTCTGGAAAGAAAAGAAAGATTACAAAACAAACCTTGGTAATTTTTGTTTGAAAACTGTAGAAGTATAATGAAACTTCACCCATAGAGAAGGAAGAAAATGATCCCCTACTTTTCTTACCATTCAAAATTTTTCTGTTTTCCATTTCTATCTCTTATTTCTAATTTTCTGAGAGATTTCCTCAACTTCAAACTCTTCTACTTCGGCTATTACATTTTTTATTTTGATTTAAATATTTTCTCTGAATAATCTTTTTCCATACGTTTCGTTCTTATATCAGATTTAGTATCTTCTATTATCTGAAAGGAGCCCTGGTGGTGCAGTGGTTAAGCATTTGGCTGCTGACAAAAAGGTTGGCAATTGGAATCCACCAGCTGCTCCTTGGAAACTCTATGGGGCAGGTCTACCCTGTCCTGTGGGGTCGCTATGAGTCGGAATCGACTTGAACGGCAGTAGGTTTTTGTTTTTGTTATTATTTGAGAGTGTAACTGATAGTTTTTTTGTTTTCTTCTCCTTGTGTAATCCTTGTTTCTTTCAAGTTGCTTTTTTCTGTTTGTTTTGATCTCTATCTTTCATGTTTGATGCTTTCCTTGGTTGACTTATTTAAAATCACATAAAGGCCAAATCCTCATAACTGGAATCCTTGCTTCCTTGCTGTTTTATGTGGTTCTCTAATTATCAGGAAGTATAATAGGAAGGTGGTGATGATATCTAGGGCACAGAAAAGCTATTAAGTTTGAAGTGCTCAGAATTCTAAAACTATAGCTGTTGAAAGTACAAATAGCTGCACATTTAACATTTGATTAAAATAAAGCCTTAAGTTTTAAAACATCTTTAAACATTCTTTAAATATCTATTTTAGGGTGTTTGCCAGCTTGCTAGAGAAAATGATGAAAAAGAATATCCACACAGGAGAATCGATATCAGGTATTATTCAAATTTGTTGCTGACCTATTAACTTTTCCCTCCTTTTCTCTTCCCTCCCCCCGCCTCACCCAACCCCTGGTATATCTTGGAGTTTATATAAATGTCCAGAACCCCTTTTTGGTCTGAAGTACTGTATGTTCCTGCTATATGCAGTGTTTGCCCGCAGGAACGTATAAAGAATAATGCCCATTTACAGACTCTGATTTATTTTCTCTATATTTGCTTCTCTCCATCAGGCCTTCTACAAGCAAAAGTAGTTCTCTGTTTGGGGAAAGTTAGTTGTACTATGATATAGCTTTTTATTTCTCCTCATCTCTTGCAGAGCATAGTTTACTGAATCCTAAACTTATTGCAAGTTTGGGGTGATTTTAATGGTCTACCTAATGATATTCTCCTCCACAGGTTATTAGACCACATAGATTTATTTTAGGTATTTCGTGCCTTACTGGTTTTCTAATTCCTATTTTCTTCACATTTGAGAAGTGCGGTAGAAGATTTCTCTATTCTTTTTTTCTTTCTTTTTAATTTTTTTAGGTTGATACCCAGGGATCAGTATTACTGTGGTGTGCTCTATTTCACTGGGAGTGATATTTTCAATAAGAATATGAGAACTCATGCCCTAGAAAAGGGTTTTACTATCAATGAATACACAATCCGTCCGTTGGGAGTCACTGGTGAGTATTCATGTCTGCATTAGAGACAATGAGGCAATACTGGCCATCTGGAAGGTTATTTTCAAAGATATTTTGGTTTAGCAACTTTGGTTTCTCTAAAAAGCTTTCTAATTGTAATTGTACTGGTAGTCCTTAGGCAAGGAGTCCCTGGGTAGCACAAACAGTTAAGCACTTCACTACTAACCGAAAAGTTGGTGGTTTGAACCTACACAGAGGTGCCTCAGAAGAAAGGCCTGGTGGTCTGCTTCCAAAGATGACAGCCTTAAAAACCCTATGGAGCACAGTTCTCTGCAACACATAGGGTCGTCATGAGTCAAAATTGACGCAACAGTAACTGGTGATGATGAGTCCCTCAGACAACAAAATAGGACTTTAATCCACAAGGAGCTCCCAGGCCCTTAATTGAAGGCCCATCAACTCAACCTTATTTCTAGCTCTGTTAGAATGGATGAAATCTTTTCTACCTATGATGGTCAATAAAAAATCTTATTGATCTAAAGTTTTGTTTTTGTTTTTTTTTTAAATGTATCTCCAAGACTTCTGAAGGACCCAGGTATCAATGATTTTCGTGCCAGGCAAAATTGGGTAGCTTTGGACCCCACACTTTTAAAGCTTAAGAAGGATTACTTAATCTATACTTTATGGATCTTGTAAACATTTCAGAATATATTTTGTAGTTTACTATTCTCTACTAGGAAGAAGATTTTGTCATTTTGTTCTAAAAAGCATAAAACAGGGTTTTCATTCCTAGTTGACAGATCAGTGCTTCTTATATTTCAGTGTACATACAGATTGCCTGTGGACCTTATTAAAATGTGGATTCTAATTCAGTGAGTTTAAGGCGAAGCCTAAGATTCTGCATTTTGGGGCCCAAGAGTCTTCATTTCTAGGAAGCTTCCAGGTGATACCAATGCTGTTAGTCGAGGGGCCACATTTTGAGTTGCAAGGGTTCTAGTATATCCTATGTAATACATGGCGGCTACAGTGAAGAGCCAGTAGGAATGAAAATCATGAATTAGGGTCATTTCAGTGGCCACGTTAGGGATACTCAGGTTCCTTTTGTAGCACTGACAGTATACATGACAGAGCTCAGCCACAGGCTTATCTGGGAAGATGCATTGGTTTTAGTTACCATTTCTTTTTTTGGTTACCGTTTTCATCCCCAAAACTGGTCCACATAACTCTCAATCCTGAATCTTCTATAACTAAATTTCAAAACTGGCCCTTAAAATAAGTTTCTTTTCTCTGTCTACTTGCAGGAGTTGCTGGAGAACCCCTGCCAGTGGATAGTGAGAAAGACATCTTTGACTACATCCAGTGGAAATACCGAGAACCCAAGGACCGAAGCGAGTGAGGCCTATTCTCCCTCCCAGGCACAGCCCAGCAGGAGTCTTAATTTATTTCCTAACCTTTGCTCTGTAAGGGTCTCTGGTGTTTTTAAATAATTCTTTCTTCATGCCTTAGCTTGCATTGTAGTCAATAAAGCCTCTTGTACTACTGTCAGATGATGTTGTCCTTATTTTATTAGCAGATATCTTCAGTTTAAACTTACATATTATGTTCATGATCGTACTATACTAAGGGTGTAGTAGAGGTAAATAAGAGATGGGCTGACAGTAAGTCTTTAATGGGAATTTTTATTTTCTCATTTTCTGCCCTTGTGCCATAAACTACATTTCCTCCCTACCTTTACCCCTACTTACTGATTACAAATCAGTCAGTTAATGTACACCCAGAGCCTAGCCTCTGGAAGACAATTCAATATATTTTTTAAAAGTAGGGACCTTCATAAATTTAATTTTCTTTTGTCGGCCCATAGTTGATTTTTTAACATATAACTTAAATAGAAAAACAGGTGTATGGCTCATCTCTTAAATCTGTAGCATGTGGTAGTAATCCATTAGAAAGAGCTTCCTAAGCAAAACCACTTCTCATATGTACCCATCACAAAATATGGCCTCTTAAATTTCAAACAAACAAATAAAAATGTCATTTTTTTTGCCTGAGTTTTTCTCCAAGATTACCATTTAAGTACGGATGGTCAAAATAGATAAGCAGAAACACTCCTTAAAAGCTCTAACTTTCAAATATAAAAATTATATAAATATAAAATATAAAAAACAATCAAATGGTAAGTAAAGTTGTTGAAAACAAAATATGTGAAAATGCTTTGTAACTTGTAAAGGCCTATGCAAATATAAAGCATTAATACCCTTTGAATTTTATTTCTCTGTTGATCAAAATATTTTGTCGTGAAATGGCATTTTCCTTTCAAGAAACGAAGGAAAACGAGTTTTTAAGCCAACACTTGCTGTGATGATTTTCACTGGTAAGATCCAAGAATGCATTTACTTTTAATTTCAAATACTATCACTTTTTTTTCCCAAGCTGCTGTCAGGTACCAGCCCTTCACCAGAAATTAAACATTTATTTGAAACTAATTGAGTCACTAGATCAAAATTATTTTTTTTCTGGAGAAATAGACAAAAAGCTAAAGCTATTTTCCATTCACACAAGGCAGTATCTTGGGGTTCTCTAACTTCCGTCTATTTCAGCTGCTACAAGATCTTATTTTAAGGGATATTTGTATGAAAGGATTTTTAAGTTAATGTCTGAGATTTCTGCTTGAATACATAAGGAGTCTTCCTTATTTTGAAATACTTGCAGCTTTTTAGATATTTTGGCATACTCTTAGCCGTGCGTGCTGTCGATTGCCAATAACTTGATCTCGACATAATAGTCCAGGACCACAGTCACAGCGCTGGAAAATTTCTGGAGCTTGAGCAGTATCTTTATGACCTCTCCTAGAGCAGACCTGTCCCTCCAATAGGACTGGTTTACAAATCTTAGTCCAAAAATGACGAGCACAGCAAAGTCCCGGTCCACAGTCAAAAGTTCTAAGACAGCTTTCTCCTTCTTGTCCTGTAACAAGATTAATATGGACTTTAGAAAAATGGGGAAAGTGGTACATGGGGGGATTGTTAACAGGGAGAAGGACATGAGATATGAGACTGGAGACCACCAAGCAGAAGTAGAAACAGCATGTAGGTCTCAATAGTTAGGTCTCATGCTAAAAGCAATAATAAAATGGAAATGCCAGCCCTTCCTGACAGAATTTATTCTATTTGCTTTGTAAAGTTAAAACATTTATCAAAGGTGTTGGGATTTCCAGTCTTGAGAAATAAGTGTCACACAAATTATTAAATAGGGTTTATACTGATTTTTTAAAAAGATTACATATAAAAGGCCATTACATATAAAAGGGCCAGTTAGCCTGAAGACAAGAGTGGCCAGTTGACCAACTTCAAACATTCTTTATGTCAAAGACTGGAATTTGAGATTACAGTTTTGTAAAAAGCCTCATCTTAGTGAAGTTCATGTTTTGGACAAGGATGAAAAGTTAATGCTCCTACTTCCATTTGTTTTTTATTTTATATCCTGAGGCTCTAGGAAGGTAACCTTCCATTTTTAAATTACAGTCTCTAGAAAGGTGTGTGCGGGTGTGTATGTGTAAAATTGAATTAAAGGTTTTCTTACTCACTCATCAATTATTATGGCTATTCTCCTATCCTCTTGGCTTGCTGACTACCTTATACTACTCCCTCTGTATCTTCTGATGGAAAGAGATTAGAAATAGGACATGCTTCCTACATGTTCCTGGTGTGGAGAGGAATAAAGTCAGTTTTAGCCTATTTGTAAGAGCCTAGGAGGAGAAAATGTTGTCTTCTATAAAATGTGCTTAGAGTGCAGCTCTTACCCTTACTGCCTTGTGATTTCTTAGTATTTGGCTTCCTCTTGGGTTTGTTTTCCCGAATTGGATGCTCCGTTGTTCCTTTTGTATCTATGTCATCTTGGTCATCAACCTGTCTTTCTGATATTGGGGTTACATCTTCCATTGTAGTACAAACATCTGAGGGACAACCATGTGTAATTAGAATTAGTCACTTCAAGGACTGGGAACACAGACATGCTAATTATGACACTGATAAGAGTTTGGTAGCACCTCTGCCCTCAGTTTCTACATAACTTTGTAGATTTCTGGGACATACGCACTAAATATTTACATACTCACATACGGCTAAGTAGTTAATGGAATCCAGGTGAAAATGGAATAATTCAAAAGATTCCAACTTGAAAGCTTCAAGAGTTGTCGCCAGGAAATAATTTTTTGCATCACGAAAAGGTGTATAAATTTACTTCAAGCGTGAACCCAATAAACCTTGAGAGAGAGTGCATATCTTGGAATATTCTAATCAATGAGATTCAGATGCTATCGATCTTCACTTTAAAAACCACTGTCCACGGAAGCAAAGCAGTTCCGTAATGAATGGGTTTATGATTGCTTACCGTTTATGCAGAGCGTGCCTGGGCAGCACATGGTATTACGTTGGCACCTCCTCCGTAACCCACGACACGTAGCACAGAAGGGCTTCTCGTGGGGCCTGAGGCAGAATTTCCTGGTATTGCAGTCCTTGTCAGTCAAGCACTGTGAGCCCTGTGAAGGGAGGTGGAGGAAGCCAAATCATAGTTGCACTTGGAATGCTGTGACAAACTTTAGGCTGTATCGGAATTTTTCAATATAATTGGTTTTCTCCCACAAAGGGGAGATCAAATCACCAGTGAAGAGACCCAGGTGCTGAAAAGGTTATTTGCATTTGAAAAATTGTCCTACTTTTAAAACTCTGAATTTTACTTTTTTATGCTCTTTGTGAAAATGGAAGAAAATATTTCCCTTTGTGTGCCTTACATCTATGAGGTTTTCAGTACAAATCTGTTAACTCTAGAAGCTGTGTTACAGTTTAAGTATGATGTTGGTGTTTGTGGCTTTTCTGTTTGATTGCTTACTCCAGTGAGTCACATCAATCTCTGCGTTCATCTGCCAACTAGTACCTCTGTGAGCCTTACCCAAGCAAACTGGCCTTTTGACTTTTAGTAGTGCTCTATACCACCAAAGAACAATTTTTCTCATCCACAATTGATGCTTTTTCATATATATATATGAAATGATACTCAATTCTGTGACATTAGGCAGTGGCAATGAGAATGCACCATGACACTCTGCGATTAAATTCTAACTCCCATATTTATTGGCTGTGTGAACTTGGGTGAATTTCTTAACATTTCTGAGTCTTAGATTTTCTCATTTGTAATTAGGAGGTGTGACACCTACCTCAAGTTGTGATGATGATTAATTGAGGTATTATATATCAAAAGCCTGGCACATGGTATAGCTTTTTAAATGTTAGTTTACTTGCTGATTTATAGGTGAATTTACAGTTGAATGCCCTGAAAAGCTTTAATAATGTGTTAATGCTGAGGCGACTGGATTCTATCAGGGTGCCTTCCCAGTTCCTAAATCAGTCCAACTTACCCTCTAGATAAGATATTTTACACATTGGTTTGAATGATTTAGCTAAACTTACACACGACACCCATCATGCTGTCTTCAGCCCCCAACCCCCAGTGCACTGTCTCCTCCCTAGTGGTGCTTTACCTTCTGAGCCCCTTGCACGTCCACAGAACTCTTGATGTTGTTGAAGTCCAGAATCAGTGCTCCCAGGGGAGAGCAGAACCAGCCGAGTCCCAGCAGAAACACCACCACCATCCTTCAGTCGCCTGGTCCCCTTGAGGTTCTCAGGACTCTACGCGTCCTCTGAATAGAGTTTTTGCCAAGTCTGTAAATGCTTTTTTCCTGAAACAGAAGCAAATCTTAGTCTAAGCAAGGTGTGTGGAATGAGATGAGCGAGATCCGACCAGCAGGTTTCTTCTGAAACTATTTATAGCCAGATATGCCCCCTCATTCTCTGCCTCCCTCCCTCCTCATTTCCTTCCGTCTTAGCCCACACAGGCTTCAACAAATCCCCTCAAATCTGTTTGATCAATAGTTCAAAACAAGGACTCAATAGAGGGAGACAAGAGGCAGGGCCACAGTGGCTTCTCCTCCAGGGGTTGAATCCCTCTTAATTATTGCATATCAAAGTTAGTTCAAAGGGTAGCAGGAGAGCAGGATGTCTGTATCAAAGACAAACTGTGATAATCACCTGCATTTCCTACAGTCAATAATCCTCTGGGGGATGAAGGCGCCTGTTCTAAGAACTGTTTTCACAGCTTATTGCCCTCAAAGGAAGAATGAATCATATAGGCCAATATGCTATGGAGGCTGCCAAAAATTAATGAGTTACAAAATAGACTGAGAACCTTTAAACTGTGCTTCAGAGAGTGAGAACTGATAGAAAAGAGAGAAAATGCCTTCTGATTAGCTCTGGCATCCAGGTATAAAAATCCCAATAGCTTAAAAGCTGTGAACATAATAGCACCTGTTCCTACTAAATGTCAATTGGGAAATTACTCTCCTTAAATGAAAATTGAATTGTTTGAAGTTAAAACTCATTGCCATCGAGTCAATTCTGACTCACAGCGATCCTATAGGACAGAGTAGAACTGCCCCATAAGGTTTCCAAGGAGCAGCTGGTGGATTCCAACTGTCCAACTTTTGGTTAGCAGCTAAACTCTTAACCACTGCGCCACCAGGGCTTCTGTTTGAAGTTAGGGCTGTTTAATTAGGAAAATAATGGGGGTTTACAAAAATCTTTTTTGATGATGGAGTCCACCACAGAAAGTCCATTTTGTACAGATTTATACAATTAAGTGGGATGTTTTGGATCCATTTTATGAGCAATGCATTCAATTTGTATTGCATTATGTTAAATTGACTTAAGCAGAACAGGTCCCCAAGTCTCTAGCTGATTTAAATGGAATTTCATGCATTTCCAATTTTCCTAATCTTAATTTTTTATTTAAATTTCTGCTTTATTCCTTTTTTTGTCTAATTTTTTTTTAAGCCAGACTGTTGGAGAAGTCAAGAAATTTAGACACGTGCTTACCACTCCCTTAAGTACTTTAAGGGTAGAAAAATCTAGATCTGGGTCAAAGGTTTATTTATGTCTCTCTTCATGGTTTTCACTGTTCTCTGTGTAAATCCTCTACATGCCATAAATGACAATCTTAGTATTACTGAGTCTTCTTCCAAAACAGCCTAACATGTGTCCATTGAAATGTATTTGACATTTTTTGCAATGAAAACAATTTCCGTTTTGAAGTCCCTGACGTGTTATGCACTGTGCCATGCAGAAGTCGATGCAGGTGATCTGAGTCTTTGCATTACCTGGCTGTCTCCCTTGTGTTGGTGTTGCTTCTCTATTACTCATGGTATGATGGGAGTTACTTCTTCCTCAAGTAATTTTTTTTTTTCACTTAAACTGACAACATCCAACAGTCTTTAATAGTATGATAAGGCAGGTAAGTAGGGGTGTACAGAGTTTATTTCGAAGTTGGACAATAATGACCAAGGAAAAAGGAGAGGCCCCCAGGGTTTCCTCTCAGTTTCTCTGCTTCCTGTTGTCTAACTGAAGAGAAATGCCAGGGTACGAAAGGCCTCTGGCAATATATACAAATAAGAGGACTGATGGGGAAATCCTATAACATAGCACAAACATTCATGGAGCACTTACTATGTAGCAGACCTGTGGCTGGATGTTGGGAATAAAATATAAAACACGATCTTTGCACCTGAGGAACTACAGTCCAGTCAGAAGACAAACATGTAGGAATGACTTCAATGTATTGTGAACAGCACTAAAATAATGGTATAATTGCAGGGATGGAGGATCACAGAGGAAGGCAGGATTTAGACTTTCTGGAGAATGCAGGAATGTGTTCACAAAGGTGGTAATATTTGAGCTGAGTTTTGTGGGATTAATAGGAGTTTCCTAAGTCTCGTCTGTTTGATGTACTGTAGTGGCTTGCCTGTTGCTGTGATGCAGGAAGCTTTGCCACCAGTAGTTCAAATACCAGCAGGGTCACCCATGGTAGACAGATTTCAGCTGAGCTTCCAGGCTAAGATGACTAGGAAGAAGGACCTGGCAATCTACTTCTAAAAGAAAATTGGCCAGTGAAAACCTTATGAATAGCAGCAGAACATTGTCTGATATAGTGTCAGAATATGAGCCTCTGGTTGGAAGGCACTTAAAATACGACTAGGGAAGAGCTGACTCCTCAAAGTAGAGTCGACCTTAATGATGTGGATGGAGTCAAGCTTTTGGGACCTTCATTTGCTGCTATGGCAGAACGCAAAATGAGAAGAAACAGCTGCAAACATCCGTTAATAATCAGAATGTGGAATGTACAAATTATGAATCTAGGAAAATTGGAAGTCATCGAAAATGAAATGGAACACATAAAAATCGATATCCTAGGCATTAGTGAACTGAAACGGACTGGTTCTGGCCATTTTGAATCAGACTATCATATGGTCTACTACCCTGGGAATGACAAATTGAAGAGGAATAGCATCACATTCATCATCCAAAAGAACATTTCAAGATCTCTCGTGAAGTGCAATGCTGTCACTGATAGGATAATATCCATATGCTTATAAGGAAGACCAGTTAATATGACTAATATTCAAATTTATGTACCAACCACTAATGCCAAAGATGAATAAATTGAAGATTTTTACCAACTTCTGCAGTCTGAAACTGATCAAACATGCAATCAAAATGCATTGATAATTACTGGTGATTGGAATGCAAAAGTTGGAAACAAAAAAGAAGAAATCTGTCTAGTTGGAAAATATGGCCTTGGTGATAGAAATCACACCGGAGATCGCATGATAGAATTTTGTAAGACCAATAACTTATTCATTGAAAATTCCCTTTTTCAACAACATAAATAGTGATTATACACGTGGACCTTGCCAGATGAAATACACAGGAATCAAATCAACTACATCTGTGGAAAAAGACAATGGAGAAGCTTAGTATTAGTATTAGTCAGAACAAGGCCAAGGGCTGACTGCAGAACAGACCATCAATTGTTCATACGCAAGTTCAAGTTGAAGCTGAAGAAAGTTAAAATAAGTCCACAAGAGACAAAGTATGACCTTGAGTAGATTCCATCTGAATTTAGAGACCATCTCAAGAATACAATTGACACATTGAACACTAGTGACCAAAGACCATACAAGTTGTGGGATGACATCACACATGAAAAAAGCAAAATGTCATTAAAAAGACAGAAAAGAAAGAAAAGACCAAAATGGATGTCACAAGAGACTCTGAAACTTGCTCTTGATCATAGAGTAGCTAAAGTGAATGGAAGAAACTATGAAGTAAAAGAGCTGAACAGAAGATTTCAAAGGGCGGCTCGAGAAGACATGGTAAAGTATTATAATGAAATGTGCAAAGACCTGGAGTTAGAAAACCAAAAGGAAAGTACATGCTCGACATTTCTCTAGCTGAAAGAACTGAAGAAAAAATTCAAGCCTCAAGTTGCAGTATTGAAGGATTCTATGGGCAAAATATTGAACGATGCAGGAAGCATCAAAAGAAGATGGAAGGAATACAGAGTCACTGTACCAAAAAGAATTGGCTGACGTTCAACCATTTCAGGAGGCAGCATGTGATCAAGAACCAATGGTACTGAAGGAAGAAGTCCAAGCTGCACTGAGGGCATTGGCGAAAAACAAGGCTTCAGGAATTGACAGAATACCAACTGAGATGTTTCAACAAAACGATGCAATGCCGGAAGGTATCACTCGTCTATGCCAAGAAATTTGGAAAACAGCTACCTGGCCAATTGACTGGAAGAGATCTATATTTTTGCCCATTCCAAAGAAAGCTGATCCAACAGAATGCAGAAATTATTGAACAATATCATTAATATCACACACAAGTAAAATTTTGCTGAAGATAATTAAAAAATGATTGCATCAGTACATTAACAGGGAACTGCTAGAAATTCAAGCCAGATTCAGAAGAGGATATGGAAAGAGGGATATCATTGCTGATATCAGATGGATCTTGGCTGAAAGCAGAGAATACCAGAAAGATGTTTACCTGTGTTTTATTGACTATGCAAAGGCATTCAACTGTGTGGATCGTAACAAATTATGGATAACATTGTGAAGAATTGTGCTCATGAGGAACCTGTACATAGACCAAGAGGCAGTCCTTCGAACAGAACAAGGGGATACTGTGTGGTTTAAAATCAGGAAAGGTGTTCTTCAGGGTTGCATTCTTTCACCATACTTATTCAATCTGCAAGCTTTGCAAACCATCTGAGAAGCTGGACTATATGAAGAGGAACGTGGCATCAGGACGGGAGGAAGACTTATTAACAATCTGCAATATGCAGATTACACAACCTTGCTTGCTGAAAGCAAAGAAGACTTGAAGCACTTACTGATGAAGGTCAAAGACTACAGCTTTCAGTATGGATTGCACCTCAACATAAAAAAAATAAAAATCTTCACAACTGGACCAATAAGCAACATCATGATAAATGGTGAAAAGATCGTAGTTGTCAAGGATTTCATATTACTTGGATCCACAATCAGCAGCCTTGGAAGCAGCAGTCAAGAAACAAACAATGTATTGCATTGGGAAAATCTGTTGCAAAAGACATCTTCAACGTGTTAAAAAGCAAAGGTGTCACCTTGAAGAGTAAGGTGCGCCTGACCCAAGCCATGGTGTTTTCAATCAACTTATATGTATGCAAAAGCTGGACAATGGATACAGAAGACAGAAGAAGAATTGATGCATTGGAATTATGGTGTTGGCAAAGAATAGTGAATATATCATGGGCTTCCAGAAGAATGAACAAATCTGTGTTGGAAGAAGTACAGCCAAAATGCTCCTTGGAAATGAGGATGACAAGACTTCGTCTCATGTAATTTGGAC